TCGTCAGTTTTCTAAACGTTTAACATCACATCTGGGTCTATCACATCTGGGTCTATCACATCTGGGTCTATCACAACAGTCTGCACGAATTAAATTCTTAATCTTGTTGTTATGGAATGATAACATGAAGGCTGGGGGTCACGAAAGTTATTTTGAAAGCAGGTACAAACACACTGACAAAGACCTTGGTAATGACATTATCATCACAACATTCCACTGTAAGGAGCATTTTTTCATATCACAGGAAAAATTTCATGGTACACAGGGAGCACTGTGGTACACAGGGAGCACTGTGGTACACAGGGAGCACTGTGGTACACAGGGAGCACTGTGGTACACAGGGAGCAGTGTGGCACACAGGGAGAATTTATGAGGCACAGGGAGTGTATTTTGAGTAACAATGAGCATTTACGAGGCACAGCGGAACATTTGACATGAACTGATCTGTGGCAGAACCTGAACCACCATCATGTTCTGGAGATGTGGTTCTGGGTGGATCCTGGTGTAGGAGCTGGGTGGACTCTGGTGTAGGAGCTGGGTGGATCCTGGTGTAGGAGCTGGGTGGATTCTGGAGGAGTTGGGTGCATCCAGGTGGAGAAGCTGGGTGAATCCTGCTGGAGGAACTAGGTAGATCCTGGTGGAGCACCATCCTGGTAGAAAGTGATGCTGGTGGCAGCACTGCACTTCTCCTGCAGGGCGCCAACAGCACTGCACGCCTCCTGCAGGGTGCCAACAGCACTGCACGCCTCCTGCAGGGTGCCAGCAGCACTGCACGCCTCCTGCAGGGTGTCAACAGCACTGCACGCCTTCTGCAGGGTGCCAACAGCACTACTAAAGAGTGCCACCACTTGCTCCAGAGTCTGCCCTCCTGCTGACAGCAGCAGCAGTACATGAATGAGGAAGCCCTTGAGGGCGGGACAGTGCTCCTGGTGAGAGGGCGGGACAGTGCTCCTGGTGAGAGGGCGGGACAGTGCTCCTGGTGAGAGGGCGGGACAGTGCTCCTGGTGAGAGGGAGAGCGAGGCACGGGTGACTGAGAAGTGAGAGTACGCAGCATCAAGGTATCACAGCTAAGTCTGTGGGAGAAAAAAAAACGAAGAAATTAACACAAGGTATACTAATTATAATAATAAATAATAATAAAAATCTTGATATGTTAGACATGTCTCTCATTCATTAGTAATAATAATAATAATAATGATGATGATAATAATAATAATAATAATAATAATAATAATAATAAATAATAATAATAATAATAATAATAACAACAACAACAACAACAACAACAACAACAACAACAACAACAACAACAACAACAACAACAACAACAATAATATAATAATAATAATAATAATAATAATAATAATAATAATCTTTGTACAGGTACATGATACAACTTACAGAGGAGACCATTGCTGATGTCAATGACATACTATACAGAAAGTTCCTGGAAAAACTGGTAGCAGGTGTTATACATGTTTCTGAGTGATCAGTAACCACCTGTCACTACAACCACTACTGACTATAATCATCACTCACTATAACCACCAGTCACCATAAGCACCAGTCGTAATCACGAGTCATTATAACCACCAGTCACTATAACAAGTTATAACCACGAGTCACTATAACCGCAATCACTATAATTGCCAGACACTATAACCACAATCACTATAATTACTAGTCACTATAACCAAGAGTCACTACAACCAGTCATAATCACGAGTCACTATAACCAGAATCACTATAATTGCCAGTCACTATAACCAGTCATAACCACGAGTCACTATAACCACATAAGTTATTATAACCAAGAGTCACTATAACCACAATCACTATAACCACAAGTCACTATAATCACAATCACTATAAACATAGTCACTATAACCACCAGTCACTATAACCACTCACTATAACCACCAGTCACTATAACCATCAGCCATTATAACTACCAGTCACTATATTCACCAGTCACTGTGACCACCAGTCACTGTAACCACCAGTCACTATAACCACTAGCCACTATAACCACTAGCCACTATAACCACTAGCCACTATAACCACTAGTCACTATAACCACTAGTCACTATAACCACCGGTCACTATAACCACCAGTCACTATATCCACCCGTCACTATAACCAGTCAATATAACCAGTAGTCACTATAATCAACAGTCACTATAACCACCAGTCACTTTAAACGCCAGTCACTATAAACACCAGCCACTATAACTACCAATTACTATAATCACTATTCACTATAACCACCAGTCACTATAACCACCAGACACTATAACCACCAGTCACTATCCACCAGTCATTATAACCAGTCAATATAACCACCAGTCTCTATAACCAGTCATTATAACCACCAGTCACTATAATCCACAGTCACTATAACCACTAGTCACTATAACCACCATCATATAAACACCATCACTAAACTACCATACTATAACACTTTTTCACTATAACCACCAGTCACTATAACCACCAGACACTATAACCACCAGTCATTATAACCAGTCAATATAACCACCAGTCTCTATAACCAGTCATTATAACCACCAGTCACTATCCACCAGTCATTATAACCAGTCAATATAACCACCAGTCTCTATAACCAGTCATTATAACCACCAGTCACTATAATCAACAGTCACTATAACCACTAGTCACTATAACCACCAGTCACTATAAACACCAGTCACTATAACTACCAGTTACTATAACCACCAATCACTATAACCACGTCACTATATCCACCAGTCATTATAACCACCAGTCACTATAATCAACAATCACTATACCACTAGTTACTACAATCACCAGTCACTATAACTATAATTCATTATAACCATCAGCCACTATAACTTAGTCACTATAACCATCAGTTACTATAAATACCCATCATTATAACCCCAATAATCATTGTAACCACAAGTCACCATAACAAGTCACTATAACCATCAGTCAGTATACTTATCACTAAACATTGTAAAGATGCTATGTCACTATGCTACAATGTACCTCACTATATCCGTCAGTCCACTTCACTATACCTCATCATATCTGTTACACTGTATTTTGTTAGTCACCACACATCTCACTATATCAGTTACCACATCTCACTATGTCAGTCACCACATCTCACTATATCAGTCACCACATCTCACTATATCAGTTACCACATCTCACTATGTCAGTCACCACATCTCACTATATCAGTCACCACATCTCACTATATCAGTTACCACATCTCACTATGTCAGTCACCACATCTCACTATATCAGTCACCGCATCTCACTATATCAGTTACCACATCTCACTATATCAGTTACCACATCTCACTATGTCAGTCACCACATCTCACTATATCAGTCACCGCATCTCACTATATAAGTCACCACATCTCACTATATCAGTCACCACACATCTCACTATATCAGTTACCACATCTCACTATATCAGTTACCACATCTCACTATATCAGTCACCACACATCTCACTATATCAGTTACCACATCTCACTATATTAGTTACCACATCTCACTATGTCAGTCGCCACATCTCACTATGTCAGTCGCCACATCTCACTATATCAGTCACCACATCTCACTATATCAGTTACCACATCTCACTATATCAGTTACCACATCTCACTATATTAGTTACCACATCTCACTATGTCAGTCGCCACATCTCACTATATCAGTCACCACATCTCACTATATCAGTCACCACATCTCACTATATCAGTCACCACACATCTCACTATATCAGTTACCACATCTCACTATATCAGTCACCACATCTCATTATATCAGTCACCACACATCTCACTATATCAGTTACCACATCTCACTATATCAGTCACCACATCTCACTATATCAGTCACCACATCTCACTATATCAGTCACCACACATCTCACTATATCAGTTACCACATCTCACTATATCAGTCACCACATCTCACTATATCAGTCACCACATCTCACTATATCAGTCACCACACATCTCACTATATCAGTTACCACATCTCACTATATCAGTTACCACATCTCACTATATTAGTTACCACATCTCACTATGTCAGTCGCCACATCTCACTATATCAGTCACCACATCTCACTATATCAGTCACCACATCTCACTATATCAGTCACCACACATCTCACTATATCAGTTACCACATCTCACTATATCAGTCACCACATCTCATTATATCAGTCACCACACATCTCACTATATCAGTTACCACATCTCACTATATCAGTCACCACATCTCACTATATCAGTCACCACATCTCACTATATCAGTCACCACACATCTCACTATATCAGTTACCACATCTCACTATATCAGTCACCACATCTCACTATATCAGTCACCACATCTCACTATATCAGTCACCACACATCTCACTATATCAGTTACCACATCTCACTATATCAGTCACCACATCTCACTATATCAGTCACCACATCTCACTATATCAGTCACCACACATCTCACTATATCAGTTACCACATCTCACTATATCAGTCACCACATCTCACTATATCAGTCACCACATCTCACTTCAGTCACCACACATCTCACTATATCAGTTACCACATGTCACTATATCAGTCACCACATCTCACTATATCAGTCACCACATCTCACTATATCAGTCACCACACATCTCACTATATCAGTTACCACATCTCACTATATCAGTTACCACATCTCGCTATATCAGTTACCACATCTCACTATATCAGTCACCACATTTCACTATATCAGTCACCACATCTCACTATATCAGTCACCACATCTCGCTATATCAGTTACCACATCTCACTATATCAGTCACCACATTTCACTATATCAGTCACCACATCTCACTATATCAGTCACCACACTTCACTACGTCAGTCACCACATATCACTATATTAGTCACCACATCTCACAATATCAGTCACCACATCTCACAATATCAGCCACCACACTTCACTATGTCAGTCACCACACTTCACTAAGTCAGTCACCACACTTCACTAAGTCAGTCACCACACTTCACTAAGTCAGTCACCACACTTCACTAAGTCAGTCACCACACTTCACTATGTCAGTCACCACACTTCACTAAGTCAGTCACCACACTTCACTAAGTCAGTCACCACACTTCACTAAGTCAGTCACCACACTTCACTAAGTCAGTCACCACACTTCACTAAGTCAGTCACCACACTTCACTATGTCAGTCACCACACTTCACTAAGTCAGTCACCACACTTCATTAAGTCACCATTCACAATATCAGTCACCACACTTCACTAAGTCAGTCACCACACTTCACTATGTCAGTCACCACACTTCACTAAGTCAGTCACCACACTTCACTAAGTCAGTCACCACACTTCACTAAGTCAGTCACCACACTTCACTAAGTCAGTCAACACATCTCACTCTATCAGTCACCATACCTCACTATATCAGTCACCACACTTCACTATATTAGTCACTATCCTTCATTATATCAGTCACCATACCTCACTATATCAGTCAACACACTTCACTATATCAGTCAACACATCTCACTCTATCAGTCACCATACCTCACAATATCAATCACCACACTTCACTATATTAGTCACTATCCTTCATTATATCAGTCACCATACCTCACTATATCAGTCACCACACTTCACTATATCAAGGGATGCAATGGATAAGTCTGGGTGTGACTGGTCACTATCACACTTCCTGGTGACGTCACGTGGTGAAACACTTCACTATTATACGTAACCGCGGTCATCATTGAATGGGGTCACAATAAATGTATCTAAGGGTCACCATCAGTGCATATGGCTGGGGTCACTATAACAACAACCGGGAGGGGTCACTATAACAGCAGCTCGGAGGGTCACTATAACAGTAGCTGGAGGAGTCACTATAACAGCAGCTGGGAGAGGTCACTTTAACAGCAGCTGGAAGGGTCACTATAACAGCAACTGGGAGGGGTCACTATAACAGTAGCTGGAGGGGTCACTATAACAGCAGCTGGGAGGGTCACTATAACAGCAGCTGGGAGGGGTCACTATAACAGCAGCTGGGAGGTTCACTATAACAGCAGCTGGGAGGGGTCACTATAACAGCAGCTGGGAAGGGTCACTATAACAGCAGTTGGGAGTGAGGCCACTATATCTGCAGCTGGAAAGGTCATTATAACAACAGCTGGGGTCACTATAACAACAGCTCTGAGGGTCATTATAACAGCAGCTGGGAGGGTAACTATAACAGCTGGAAGGGTCACTGTAACAACAGCTGGGTCACTATAACAACAGCTGGGAGGGTCTCTATAACAACAGCTGGGTCACTATAACAAGAGCTGGGTCACTATAACAACAGCTGGGTCACTATAACAGCTGGAGGGGTCACTATAACAATAGCTGGGTCACTATAACAGCTGAAAGGGTTACTATAACGACAGCTGGGAGGGTCACTATAACAACAGCTGGGAGGGTCACTATAACAACAGCTGGAAGGGTCACTATAACAACTGGAAGGGTCACTATAACAACAGCTGGGAGGGGTCACTATAACAACAGCTGGAAGGGTCATTATAACAGCTGGAAGGGTCACTATAACAATAGCTGGTAGGGTCACTATAACAGCTGGAAGGGCCACTATAGCAAGAGCTGGTTCACTATAACAACAGCTGGGTCACTATAACAGCTGGAAGGGTCACTATAACAACAGCTGGGTCACTATAGCAACAGCTGGGTCACTATAACAGCTGGGAGGGTCACTATAACAACAGCTGGAAGGGTCACCTTAACAGCCTGGTCACTGTAACAGCAGCTGGGTCACTATAGCAGCTGAAAGGGTCACTATAACAGCAGCTGGGAGGGTCACTATAACAGCTGGAAGGGTCACAATAACAACAGCTGGGAAGGTCACTATAACAGCAGGGAAGGGGTACTTACCAGAACATTGGATGACATTGCTTCACTCCAGGTGTATATCAGCCATCATGTCGTAGTGATCGTATTGAGGTTGTATTCTGTGTCTCTTGTGGGCGTGGGGGAGGGCGTGCTGTTGCTGTTGCTGCAGCTGTTGGGGTAGCCCAGGTACCACCTGCCCACCCCCGCTGGCCCCTGCTAAGGAGGAACGCGGCCTCGCAATCCCTCCGGGGTAGTTGGCCTCTAGAGGCGAGTGGGAGAACATGATAGAGGTTTCTGCTGGGGAGTGTGCCGCTATGCTAACTTCTCCCTCTAGTAACTCTCGCGGGGACCTGCAGTACTGAGCCGAGGAGTCCCCAGGAGAGCGAGAGAACATATTGTCTGAGGGCACGTCGCCTGGCTCATAGGGTGACCGAGCCAGCAACTGTCTCCGCAGTTCTTGCAAGCTGCTGCCTTCTGCAGCAGGAGAATGCGAGGTGAGGTGGTCAGGGTAGGCGCGGGTGGGCGAGGCACAGCATAATGGGTCGTGAGGAGAACGCTGGTACGACCCTTCTAGCAGCCCCTCGCCCGGAGACCCGTGGAAAGGTGACCGGCGGTTGAGGAGCGGAGATTGAGCAAGATTAACATGCTGGTTAAGTAGCACTGACTGAAGCATCATGGTAGCTGTACTGTAGGAACCATTGGGCGGAGCGGCCAGGTGTGACCCCGCCTCTCCTTTGTTCAGGGAAATTGGAATGGGACTAGTGGTATGCGAGGGTATGGTATGGAGGTGACCCAACTCGTGACCCAAGGGGCTGAGTTGTCTGGACTCAGTAAGCGTGGTTTGGGGTACTTGGAGGTCGTCGTGGAGTTCGAGGTGGTGGTGTGAACCAGGGTATGAGGCTCCAGCCTCCCCGCGAGGTACCAGACCGAAGTAGTACCAAGTAGGCTCACTGCGGCCACCACACTTCCGTACTTCCACGTTAGGGAAACAATGCTTCACTAACTTGCCGAAATAGTTCAGTGTGACTGGATTTTCATTGATGGACTTGCAGTAGGTACAATAGTTACTAAATACTGCACTCTTCATGATGATCCGCTCCGTGCCAGGCTCGTAGTGGCCCCGTAACCAGTCTATGACAATCTCAGCACTCTTATTGTCTGTAGCAATCTCTTTTTTTCTGGACCGCTGTGCTGGATCTCTCCCACTCATATACTGGAAAAGGGGACTCGAAGTTTTGACAGCGATGCCACAGTAGTGATACTGAGGCTTGACACGCCCACCTAGCCGCCTGATTGTCACTTTAGGGAACACTTGTCGCACTATCTTGCCAAAGACATTCATTTCAAAAGGCGTCTGCTTGATAGATTTCGCGTAAGCTTCATAGTGACGGTAGGCATCAGCCTTGAGCACGCACGAGTCAGGTACAGACTCGAAGTTGTCAGTGAGCCACATACGTAGGTAGTACTTGCCATCTCGTAGCACCTCTGGGGTGGAATGTAACTCCTCGTCAGGAGCGTCGCGGTAGTGGTCCGCGTAAGGTTCGTCAGCCACATCGTCCTCGTCTAACATTAGTGGAGAGATACGAGGGGCGTCGCCAGGCGGGGGAGAGAGTTCCATGGAATGTTGCTGCATGCTGACCTCGCTATCTAATAAATGATGGATGCACGGCTCGCCGTCGATTAATTCTTCAATACGGCTATACAAATCGGAATGTAAATGGACACGAATACCTTCATAGAATGTCTTGTCTGAAGGATGAATCATGGTTGCGACGCCAGGAAACACCTTAAACACTGTCTCGTCGAAGTAGGTGAGAGGCAGCGCCGTAGTGCCAGACATCTCACAAAACTTCTCATAATAAGCGTACACTTGATCCCTATTTACACACATTCTCTCACATTCCTCAAATGATCGAGATAACCAGTTTCTTAGGAAACTCTCCCACTGGGACTGGACAGAATTATTACAGTACTGCACTTCAAATTTTTCCATCTTTGGGTCAGGTTCACTATTCCAACTGCCTTCATCATTATAATCAGATATAATGTGAAAACGAGGTTTATAGAGTTTTCTAGTTTTTTGGTCTTTCACTGAGGGACTCGGGGAATCACTTATAGAAGTGGTAATGGAGGGGGAGCGTTCAGGACTGGCCATATAAGAGGTATCCATATCATGCACGTCGCGGGGGATGTGAAGGTCTAAAGGTTCATCTTTCACAGTGAACTCATCGTCCAGAGGCTCATCTTTGAGTTTTAAATGTTGGAGGCTGTAGTCGACGGGTTCATCCTTAATGTAGGAGTGGAAGTAGTGTGCTTGAGCGCCGGGAGTTTCACCTGAGACTGGGGTGTGAGAGTCCCGTAGGGATCCCTCTGACGTGTCAGAGACAGGACTGCGACAACTGCAGTCATCGTCATCGTCATCGTCGTCGTCGTGTTCCAGCTCCGAGCGGTAACATAATCTACCATTATTAAACATGTATTCAACCATACGCATGAGTTCTGTCGGGGCAGCGTCGAGAAGCAGCGGGGTAGCGCGCTCCTGGAGGCCGAAGTAGAATTTGTGCTGGTTTGATCTAGGCATCAACTTTTTTTTCTTGACCTGCGGAAAGGCGTGGCTCACCACAATAAGGAAGTTTTGCATGGATATTGGCTCCCCCGCGCCCGCTATGCACTCCAGCACGTAGCGGTCGTACACGTCAGACTTAATGACTGAGGAGTCTGGTGTGATGCAGTAGTTCTTGTGAAGCCAAACCAGACAGCGGTGCACGTCAGATTTGTCTGGAGGAATTTCCCGCTTACGCAGGCGACGTTTGGGTCTGGTGGTGGTGGCGTTATCGATGGCGTGTGGTGAGGTATCCTTGGCCTGGATGCCGCAGTAATAGTATTTAAGGTTGTCCCGTCCTCCCAGGCGACGGATAGTCACGTCGGGAAAGACGGACTTGACCACGCGGCCGAAGATGCTGGTTTCCATGATGTTGCGGCCCTGGTCGCGGCAAAAGTCCTCATAATGCTTGTACATGACCGACTTGGCCACCACACCGTCTTCATGACGCTCGTAGTGGGTCTTCACCCAGAGTTTGGCCTGCGAGCAGTGGAGAGCCATCGTCCCCGCTGAACCCTTCGCGCGAGACACCATTTAGACGGCTCGTTCAGCTGCCAGCGCTACAATGCACTTGCACTATAACGTATATTCCGGTCGCTTCAACATTTGTATCCTAAATAAATCTCACTTTCTTTAAGTTCATGTAACTGGGATCGTTTCCCCGAGGGAGTATCGGGGTGGCGGAGGAGAGGCGTAGCACAACCTCACTCGGCCACGGCACAACTTGGACTGAACCCTGTAATGTTTACGCGCAGCGCCACTGTGTCACTAAGCAACATTCATTGACTGGCACCATCGCTAGGCTACCAGTGCCCTGGCTTAGCCTACTACGTAGTTGTCCGCCTCGCTCCACATACACCACATCCAGCCCTCCTCCCGTGCACCTCCACTTGGAAAAATTCCCCCCGGTGTGAGGAGGAGAGGAGGCTAAGCCAGCAGACTTGTGAATGAGAGGTGCCGTGGGTGACTCTCTGGGTTACGAAGCCCACCACGGCCACTTGTTTACTGCTGACTCTCACACTATGAGGCACAGCACATGTGAGGCAGGTGGGCGGCGCCTCTGCCGCCCTCCTGCCATCCGCACGACCAACTCATGGCGCCCACGCTGCCGGCTGCATCACACACACACACACACACTCACACACACACACATACACTCGCACACACGCTCTCTTACTCTCTATATTCCAGCCTATCGCTGCCTCTCTGCGCCCCTCTCTTTCAATCTGCGTGGTGCGTGCTAACAGGTGCACCAGGCAGGGTAATTGTGCACATTCCAGAGAGTTGTGATGCCGCCGCCACTCAGGTTGTGATGTCACGGGGGCGGTGACCAGCTAGGCGCCGCCCACTGTGACCTCCACACTGCTGCCTCACAGCTATACTCAATGAGTCACAACATTTCTCAATTCCCAGGAAGAGCGAGAGGTGAAGCAGACGTCATCAACACGGGCTTCCCAACCTCCTTACCCACACCCCAGTAAGTCAGCCAGTCAGTCAGCCAGTCAGTCAGTCAATTAATTAGTCAGCCAGCCAGTCAGTTTGCTAGTCAGTCCGCCAGTCAGCCAGACAGTCAGTCAGCTAGTCAGTCAGCCAGTTAGGCAGTCAGCCAACCAGCCAGCCAGTCATCCAGTTAGTTACTCAGCCAGCCAGTTAGCTAGCCAGCCAGTCATCTAGTCAGTCAGTCAGTCAGCCAGGTAGCCACCTAGTCAGTCAGTTAGCCAACCAGCCAGTCAGCCAGTCACCCAGCCAGCCAGCTAGTCAGTCAGCCAACCAACCAGTCAGTCTGTTAGGTTAGTCAACTAGCTAGTTACTCAGCTAGCCAGTCAGTCATCTAGTTAGTTAGCCAGCCAGTTAGAGATAGCCAGCCAGTTAGTCAGTCAGCTTAGTAATTTCCCAGAGTGATAGTGGAGTTACAGTGTGTGATGTAAGCTTGCGGTCTGCCCCCCCCCACCCACCCTCCCTCTCTCCCTCCATCCGTCCCCACCGTCCTACCATCTTTCACCTCCACCCCTACCCTCCCCGCCCCCCATGCTTGACCTAGTGCCGGGGTGGCCCTGGCTTGACCTTGGTGGCTGGCACTGACGTAGTGGTGGCACTGATGTTCCTCCTTCAACCTACGCAGTTGTGAGGTTGCGTCACCCTCTCCACCACCCTCTCCACCACCCTTTCCACCACCCACACCACCCCCCTCTCCACCACCCTCTCCACCACCCTCTCCACCACCTACTCCACCAAGCTCTCCATTACCCTCTCCACCATCCTCTCCACCACACTCCACCACCCGCTTCACCACCCACTCCACCGCCCACTCCAGTACCTACTCCACCCCCCTCATCACCACCTACTCCACCACCCTTTCCACCACCCACTCCACCACACTTTCCATCACCCTCTCCATCACCCACTTCACCACCCTCGCCACCCACTTTACCACCCTCTGAGCCACCCTCTGAATCACCTTCTTCACCACCCTCTCCACCACTCTCTTCACCACCCTCTCCACCACCCTCTCCACCAACCTCTCCTCCACTTTCTCCACCACCCACTCCACTACCCACTCCAGCACCTACTCCACCACCCTCTTCACCACCTACTCCACCACGCTCTTCACTACCTACTCCACCACCCTCTCCACCACCCACTCCACCACACTCTCCAACACCCACTCCATCACCTTCTCCATCACCCACTTCACCACCCTCACCACCCACCCACCACCCACTCCACCATATTCTCCACCACCCACTCCATCACCCACTCTACTACCCACTCCATCACCCACTCCATCACCCACTCCACCACCCACTCCACCACCCACCCCACCACCCTTTCCGCCACCCACTCGACCACCTACTCCACCACCCTTTTCACCACCCACTCCACCACCCCTCCACCACCCACTCCACCACACCTCTCCAACACCCACTCCATCACCTTCTCCATCACCCACTTCACCACCCTCACCACCCACGCTCACCACCCACTCCACCACCCACTCCACCACCTTCTCCACCACTCACCCCACCACCCACTCCACCACCCACTCTATTACCCACTCCACCACCCACTCCACCACCCACTCTACCACGCACTCTACCACCCACTCTACCACCCACTCCACCATTCTTTCCGCCACCCACTCCACCACCTGCTCCACCACCCTCTTCACCACCCACTCCACCACTCTCTCCACCACACTCTCCAACACCCACTCCATCACCTTCTCCACCACCCACTCCACCACCCTCTCCACCACCCATTCCACCACCCACTCTACCATCCACTCTACCACCCACTCCACCACCCACTCTATCACCCACTCCACCACACACTCCACCACCCACTCTATCATCCACTCCACCAGCCACTCTACCACTCACTCCACCACCCACTCTACCACCCACTTCACCACCCACTCCACCACCCTCTCCACCACCCACTCTATCACCCACTCCACCACCCACTCCACCACCCACTCTATCACCACTCCAGCACTTACTCTATCACCCACTCCACCACCCACTCTATCACCCACTCCACCACCACTCCACCACCCACTCTATCACCCACTCCAGCACTTACTCTATCACCACACTCACCACCACCCACTCTATCACCCACTCCACCACCCACTCCACCACCCACTCTATCACCCACTCCAGCACTTACTCTATCACCCACTCCACCACCCACTCTATCACCCACTCCACCACCCACTCCACCACCCACTCTATCACCACTCCAGCACTTACTCTATCACCCAATCCACCACCCACTCCACCACCCACTCTATCACCCACTCCAGCACTTACTCTATCACCCACTCCACCACCCACTCCACCACCCACTCTACCACCCACTCCACCACCCTCTCATCTAGTGAGTTTCTCTTAACCTTCACTGATGGACATAAGGATCAAAGTCGTTCGTTTTCCAGCGGTGAGGTAGCCTTTACGTTGTGTGTCTCCTAAAAGCAAGATACAGGAGGACACTTGAGAGACACATAACCCAACAGAGAGGCAAATGGTCTCACCTGCGACACATCCAAATGTGCTGCAGGAGTGACACTCGTGTTATGTGTCAGGAGAATCCTGTATCATGTGTCAGTGATGCCACACACAGTTTATGTGTCCTGACCCCCCTTGATGTATCCTCTGTGTCCGGAGCTTCCTTGATACATCCTTTGTGTCCTGACCTTCCCTGATGTATCCTTTGTGTCCTGACCTTCCTTGATGTATCCTTTGTGTCCTGACCTTCCTTGATGTATCCTTTGTGTCCTGACCTTCCTTGATGTATCCTTTGTGTCCTGACCTTCCTTGATGTATCCTTTGTGTCCTGACCTTCCTTGATATATCCTATGTGTCCTCACTCACCTTGATGTATTCTCTGTGTCCTGACCACCTTGATGTATCCTCTGTGTCCTGACCTTCCTTGATGTATCCTTTGTGTCCTGACCTTCCTTGATGTATCCTTTGTGTCCTGACCTTCCCTGATGTATCCTTTGTGTCCTGACCTTCCTTGATGTATCCTCTGTGTCTTGACCTTCCTTGATGTATCCTTTGTGTCCTGACCTTCCTTGATGTATCCTCTGTGTCCTGACCTTCCTTGATGTATCCTTTGTGTCCTGACCTTCTTTGATGTATCCTTTGTGTCCTGACCTTCCCTGATGTATCCTTTGTGTCCTGACCACCTTGATGTATCCTCTGTGTCCTGACCTTCCTTGATGTATCCTTTGTGTCCTGACCTTCTTTGATGTATCCTTTGTGTCCTGACCTTCCCTGATGTATCCTTTGTGTCCTGACCACCTTGATGTATCCTCTGTGTCCTGACCTTCCTTGATGTATCCTTTGTGTCCTGACCTTCTTTGATGTATCCTTTGTGTCCTGACCTTCCTTGATGTATCCTTTGTGTCCTGACCTTCCTTGATGTAGCAGCCTCCCACTACTGTTACTATCACTACTGTTACTATCACTACTGTTACTATCACTACTGTTACTATCACTACTGTTACTATCACTACTGTTACTATCACTACTGTTACTATCACTGCTGTTACTATCAATACTGTTACTATCACTACTGTTACTATCACTACTGTTACTATCACTACTGTTACTGTCACTACTGTTATTATCACTACTGTTACTATTACTACTGTTACTATCACTACTGTTACTATCACTACTGTTACTATCACTGCTGTTACTGTCACTACTGTTACTATCACTACTGTTTACTTCACTACTGTTATTACACTTACTATTACTATCACTACTGTTTCTATCACTACTGTTCTATCACTTATGTTATTATCACTACTGTTACTGTCATTTCTGTTATTATCACTACTGTTACTATCACTACTGTTACTATCACTACTGTTATTATCACTACTATTACTATCACTACTGTTACTATCACTACTGTTACTATCACTTATGTTATTATCACTACTGTTACTATCACTACTGTTACTTTCACTACTGTTTTTCTACTACTATTTACTATCACTACTGTTACTAGCACTACTGTTACTATCACTACTGTTATTATCACTACTGTTACTATCACTACTGTTACTATCACTACTGTTACTATCACTACTGTTACTATCACTACTGTTATTATCACTACTATTACTATCACTACTGTTACTATCACTACTGTTACTATCACTACTGTTATTATCACTACTGTTACTATCATTTCTGTTATTATCACTTCTGTTATCACTACTGTTATTATCACTACTGTTATTATCACTACTGTTACTATCACTTATGTTATTATCACTACTGTTACTATAATTTCTGTTATTATCACTTCTGTTATCCTATACTGTTATTATCACTACTGTTATTATCACTACTGTTACTTATCATTTCTGTTTTATCACTACTGTTATTATCACTACTGTTACTATCATTTCTGTTATTATCACTACTGTTATTATCACTACTGTTACTATCATTTCTGTTATTATCACTACTGTTATTATCACTACTGTTACTATCATTTCTGTTATTATCACTACTGTTATTATCACTACTGTTACTATCATTTCTGTTATTATCACTACTGTTATTATCACTACTGTTACTATCATTTCTGT